TTAGTATGACAATTATTTCGACAATTCTGACTCAAACCTTTACCTGCGATTGTGGCCGGTGGATATGCATCTAATGTTGCTGTGTGTCTAGGTCAGCAAGAGAACGATTTATCTAACACAACGGTGAGTCCTCTTCCCGTTTGAAAGTTATTTGTCAAAAACTTGTCCAGTGACTTGTATAAAATTACCATGTTCTAATTAGATATTTGTGGGAGGACTTGACTCTGATGTCACTGATGAAGAACTAAGAGGGTCTTTTATTGCATTTGGTGAAGTTATATCTGTCAAGATACCAGCTGGAAAGGGATGTGGTTTTGTACAATTTGCAGACAGGTAATGCTGTGGTTTTGTTCTGTAGTATTTCTTATTTAAGGTCTAGGAGTCTAGCTGTCTTCTTAGCTGTAAATATTAATTATAATATCAATATAATTGAAGTAAAAGAGAGACATTGATATATTACTACCTGAATCATAACTAAAATGAATTTTCTGGTGTACGGATATACGATTTGTCTGAGGTGGACTTTCTGAACAATACCTTGTGCTTCACCCTCGTAAAGCATGCCATAGTTGTCCAAGGATGAGAGAAGTGTTGCACATTATTGAATGTTAAAATCAAAATTATTGGTCGTTCACGGTAGTTGCCCATGTGCCAGTCAATGTATGTAGCAAATATAGGTGAATGATACTTATAAAGTGGATATCGAGGATAAATGATCATTATAAATATTCATAGATATGCGATTTGTAGGATTTTGCTGTGATGTGGATTAAAGTTCTGCATTGTTAATTAAGGTTGCCAAGTTAGTGTAACCATAGATGACACTTTTAATTTGGTGTATAACAGAAATAGTGCTGAGGAAGCAATTCAAAGACTAAATGGATCAGTTATTGGCAAGCAGACAGTTCGCCTTTCTTGGGGTCGGAGCCCCGCCAATAAGCAGGTACGGTACTTCTTCTGTGCAAAACTATAATCTCTTAGAGAGCGCAAATGATTTTAGGCAGCAAAACTGTTAGGTATGTCAATCCGCCATACTTTATAAACCAAAAATGCCTACTAGTTTTTGTGTTGTTATTTGAAGCATATTTTAGTTTAGAAGTATGCATAAATAGATTGCCTACGAGGGCTGCCTGAAGAATCTTTACCTGAAAAAAATAATTACAATATTTATCCCTGATAGTTAGCTATCTTACAAAAATATCCATCATTTCTTTACAATATTATTAATACCACATAGGGATTTTTATCTACTTTACCTAAACATACCTCAAATATTTTACAAATCATTTCTACTTTGCCATTTATATCCCACTCCATTTTTCAAAATTTGTCTAATTAATCTTTATATTTTCTGTATTTCTTGTAAACCATAAAAATCAGTGGAATGGGGCTCACTATGGGAGGCAAAATTACAATGGGTATGCTGGTGCAGACTTTGGCGCATATTCGAACGGCAACTTGAACCATCAGCAGCCAGTAAGCTAATCACTCGAGCAGCCTAGCTCGTCGCTGATTTTTGCACAAATGAACTTGAATTTCTTAAGTCTGGCATCATGGATGTGGTAACTGTACGAGACGAGTTTTTTTTTTCCTTTTTTTTTTGTATGGTGTGGGATCAAGACTCGGTTTAGACGTTCAATATCTTTGCTAGAATGGCTCCAGGATTGCTATTTATCGATTCTTTTTAGGTTTCAATAAGTTTGGCATAGACTGGGCAGCATTAGACAGTTACTCGAATGTTTGTGTTATACATCATAAGATGTTGAGACCGTGAGTGTATTTTTATATTTTATATAACAAGTGACTCAATAGGTGGGTCGTGTTCTAGCTAAATGCAATAGAGCATCTTTACCTGTAAGACTTTGAGATGTTTGAAAACACCACCCTGAGTGCTTTTACCATTCAAAATGATAGGTTTGGAGTTTGTTTTCCACCCCGGCAGGGTCGGCCCAGAGTCGGTTTGAACCGGCCTGTAGGGTCTTAGAATCAATCTCTTACCACCAATAGGCCGGTTCCGGGTTTTTCCTTTGCTTTTTTAACCTGCTGGTCTATGCCAGCTCCAGGTGGGCCGGAAGATGGGTCCAGGTTTCCCTTTTTATTTATTTTATTTTATTTTTTTGCCTAAACGGTACTTCATTGGTCAAGCACCTATATATAAGATTCGTCTACAATCACGCCTTCTGTTAAAAATACGCATGCGAATATTAAAAAATGTAAATCATGAATTTAGTTTCGGTTGAAATTGTGACGACTAAAATTTCCTAAATCTAGAAGATCAACGCTTTAAGAATTCGATACAATTCAATGAAAAATTCAACAGTATTATATTTCTGCAGCAATTCTGTAGATATTGCAATAATTCTATTGATCCCTTTGAATTTTTCGTACGAAAATTCCAACTAAAGGACTTAGTATCCATTGGAATTTTGGTTAGGTTTGACAATTTCAACGAAAATTTTGCCAATTAAAATATTGCGAGAATTTTTTTTTTTTTTGAATAAAAGTTGCATATTTCAACATAAATTTACACAATAATAAAGAGTTGAAAAAAGACCGACGAAATCATCTAATTCCAACTAAAATTCCAAAACATGAAATTTTAATAGAATATTTTAGTGTTAATTTCTGTTGGACGTACATACATTTAGAATATCCATTCAATTTTCGTTGTATTATTTTACTATTCCAATTGTATTTTTCAGTACAAAGGATAATTTAATTATTTTATATTTGTCTGCATTTTGTCCATTCTTATTATTACACATGTTATTTTTATGGAAAATACTAAAGTCCCGTAACAGGATGGTTCCTTTAACCAATCAGTTCGTTTATTGTTTCAACCAATCAGATTACAACAATGTGTGCAGTTAATATACAGTTTCCCTGTATCTAAAGGCTATTAATAATTGTGAATATCCAATGATTAGAAATAAAAGAACAGAATCATACCGTTACGGGATTGTAGCCGTCCTCTATTTTTATATTAATTCAATGTTGATAGATGAGGGCCAAAACTGATGAATGTCTTAACATAGTTGAGATTCAAATTTGCTGAAAAATAATAAATGTATTACTGAATGAAAAACACTTGATTTAATCTTAATTTCTTCAGACAAATAAATATCCATAAAAATTCAAAAGACAACCCCGAAAACTGCGCTGAAAACATTCAACTACGAAAACAGAATCAAAACTAAGCATGCTTTCACACTTTTCAGTCAAACAAAATTATAAGCTCCAAGAAAAAAAAAAAAAAAAAATTAAAATTTAAGTAATATTAATTCCCTTGAGGTTAGCTATGTTTAAAACGCATGCTATAAAAACCTTCTAATCTCGCACAGACCATCAAAATCAAATCTACTTAATTACTCAGCATAATATTCACACTCGATTTTCGTTTTTCGCTTTCGTCACTTAATTTGCAGCAAACGAAGACGAAAAAAGAGAGAGGCCAAAGGAAATGAATAACAAATTTTACGTGTCGTGGAAGGTCCTCGCTGTCCTGGTTGTGACTTCTTCGACTTTCACGATTGTTAGTGCAAACAAGGGGTGCTCGTGCCCGAGCCGAAATGCTAGCCACCCGAGAACCATCGTGGTCGGTGGATCCAACAACTGGGAATTCAATGCTACTAACTACACAATGTGGGCTTTTCGTAACGGGCCCTACTTTGAGGGGGACAGTCTTGGGTACGTACCGATTAAATTAATGAATAACAAATATCACGATATTGGAAATTGATGATGTTATATAAATCGTGTAGTGTTCAAATATAACGATGACCACGACGTGGTTCAAATGCGGGATTTGGAGAGCTACGAGAAGTGCGACGTGACGGGGGCAAAGGTGTTGGGGAGCACCAAAGATGGTGGTGGTGAGGGGCTCAAGTTTACGTTGAAGGCCAGCTTGCAGTTATATCTGTTAGCATGCGGCCAGGCAAATGGCACCCATTGCAGCTCTGGCCAGATGAAATTACCATTCTTTGTTTTGCCACGTCTGCATTGAATATATTCATTTTCAATGAATAATAATATTAATAATAACAATTAATCATCGAAGGTAGTATATGTTTACGTTTTGAATCTGATGTGATTTAGTTTACGCGTTTTTTTTAAATGAAAATAACCAGTCGTGAATTTGTTGTACTATTCGGTCGAGATTTGTAACCGTTAAATCATCATGTAATCGTCTGGAATAGTTGATCTAACGGTTACAAATCCTGGTGAAATGATTCTGTAAAGGTACCGTAGCATCTCCCTATACTTGCTAGATGATTGTACCTGAATGCACGGCCTGTGATTGATCATCTATATAAAGTTCTGTTGGGCTCAGATGAGCAATGCAGAAGATGTAAATTAAAATACTAACGTGAAATGGTGAACAATAATCCCAATCCCAGCAACTCAAGAATGACAAAAGAAAATCTCTTGCAATAAAATAGGAATAATTCTTTTCTGATGTGGAAGTTCAGATTAAACTGCGACCACAGAGCATACTAAGAATATCCCAAATAAATAAAATATGCAAGAAATAAGACACCAAGATTTAACGTGGAAAAACCTCCAAATAGAGGAAAAAACCACGGGACAACCTCCGAACAAATCCACTATATTTTCAAGATAATTACAATATCTTTTCACACTCCCTTACACAAGAAATGTAAAATAGAGTGACCCAGTGAGAACCCCACTCCTAAACAAGGAATAATAGAGTTGATACCTAACCCGGTATATTTTTCCCACACCCACAGGATTTACTCAAACACTCTATTTTTATCTCACTGAAAAATAACACTCAAAGATGTTATTTCTTCTCTCTTTTTCTTTCTGCTCTTGGTGCGTCTTTCCCTGATGAAGACCCCCACTATTTATAGTGAGGATATCACATAAAACCTATACCATATATTGCTACTTTTTTTTTCGGTGCCAACCAAACTTGATTGCTTTTCATGTGCATAAGATGCCTTTTATTTTGTTTGTTAGTGCCAACAAAAATTGGCTGGATCTGACAATTCTCCCCCTCCAGCCAAAGGGTAATATTCTGCAAATCTCACATGCATTCCATACCGATCAACTCGACACAAAGCTGAAGCTTTCCTCCTGTTACAACTTTCGTCATCATGTCAGCAGGATTCTTGTCAGTGTGAATCTTTTCCAACTTGAACAATTGTTCTTCCACTGCTTGACGTAGCCAATGATATCTGGCATCAATGTGCGTCGTGCGAGAGTGGTACATCGCATTCTTACTCAAATCCAATGCGCTCTGACTATCACAATGGATATCGTACCTTTCCTGCTTCATTCTCAATTGTTGAAGAAACCTCTTCAACCAAAGCATTTTTTTTCCTGCTTCTGTCATTGCAATATACTCTGCTTCAGTAGTCACAAGGCAACAGATTTCTGCAATTTAGATTGCCAAGATACAGCTCCCCCTGCAAATGTAAACACAAACCCTGAAGTAGATTTTCTACTATCCAGGTCACCTGCCATATCCTCATCTGTATAACCTTCAAGAACTGGGTTTCCTTTTCCGAAGCTCAAGGACTTATTTGCACTGCCTTTTAGGTACCTTAAGATCCACTTCACATCTTCCCAATGATCCTTCCCAGGATTGGAAAGATACCTACTAACAATTCCAACCGCGTGAGCGATATCAGGTCTAGTACACACCATGGCATACATCAAACTCCCGACTGCCGAGGAGTATGGAACACCCGCCATAGCTTCTTTTTCTTCTTGACTCGTAGGACAACTTTGTTTGCTGAGTTTGAAGTGACTGGCCAACGGTGTATTGACCGGCTTAGCCGATTTCATGTTGAATCTCTCCAGAATCTGATTCACATACCGTTCTTGCGATAACCATAACTTCTTGGATTTTCGGTCTCGCATGATCTGCATGCCCAAAATTTGTTTCGCAGGGCCCAAATCCTTCATTTCAAAGGACTTTGCTAATTCCTTCTTCAAGTCACCAATCAGCTTCATATCTTGTCCCACTATCAACATATCATCTACATATAACAAAAGGATAATGAATTTATCACCTGGAAATTTCTTAACGAACACACAATGATCTGCATCAGTCTTGGTATATCCATGGCTCGCCATGAACGAGTCAAACTTCTTATACCACTGTCTAGGAGCTTGTTTCAGTCCATACAAGCTCTTCTTCAATCTGCAAACCATGTGCTCCTTTCCAGTCTTCTCAAATCCTTCTGGTTGCTCCATGTAGATTTCTTCATCCAGGTCTCCATGAAGAAATGCAGTCTTCACATCTAGTTGTTCAAGCTCCAGATCCAAGCTAGCCACCAATCCGAGTACTACTCGAATAGAGCTCATCTTTACAACCGGAGAGAATATCTCATCAAAGTCTATTCCTCGCTTTTGTCCAAATCCTTTCACGACTAAGCGAGCCTTGTACTTCAACATCTTGTCACCATCTTTCTTAAGCTTGAACACCCATTTATTCTTCAAGGCTTTTCTGCCTTCCGGAAGCTTCACAAGCTCATAAGTTTCATTTTTCATCATTGAATCCATTTCTTCTTGCATAGCTTTCATCCACTGGGATTTATCCTTATTGAGTTTGTACTTCTTCAAAGCTTTCTGGCTCCCCTTCTTCAGTGATGGTAATATACGTGGAACTAGGATATCTCGTAGACGGTTGGATCGCTCGATTTGATCTCTTGAGCTGAGGCGGAGCTTCGAGGTCTTCTTGCTCGACACCTTCACCATCACCATCTTCTATTGCTGGCTCATCATCAACCCTGAGTTCTCCATCACACTTTCCCCCTGTTGTGGCATTTCCAGGAGGTTTGACAGGTGAAAGATCCACCTTTCCACTTGGTTCTCTGATTTCTGGTGAAGCATAATCAGACATAGTTTCTTGCTCATGGAACACTACATCTCTACTTCTGATAATTTATCGATTTTCTGGATCCCATAACCTGTAGCCAAATTCCTCATCTCCATAGCCCCAGAAATATACAAGGAAATGGCTTTATCGTCAAGTTTTCGTCTCTGTTCCTTACTTACGTGAGCAAAAGCTTTGCATCCAAACACCTTCAAATGAGAGTATTTAACATCATGTCCGGACCATACTCTCTCGGGGATATCAAAGCCCAAAGGAACAGATGGAGATCGGTTGATCAGGTAGCACGCCGTTAGAACAACTTCACCCCAGAATAGCTTAGGTAGCTTAGCCATTCTTAACATACACCTCAGTTTCTCCATAATGGTTCTGTTGATTCTTTCAGCCACACCATTATGTTGTGGGGTTCCAGGTACAGTCTTCTCATGCCTGATGCCATGCTCGTCACAATAATTCTTGAATTCATGGGAAGTATACTCACCCCCATTATATGAGCGAAGACACTTCAAAGGTTTACCAGCCTGTCTTTCCACCATAGCATGAAACCTTTTGAAGTATTGAAAAACTTCACCCTTCGTTCTCAAGAAATACACCCACAATTTTCTTGAAGCATCATCAATAAACGTCACGAAATATCTGCTACCACCGAGACTCTCCACTTCCATGGGTCCACATACATCAAAATACACCATCTCCAACACATTCTCTTTCAGCTTCGAGGTTTTGCTGAAAGACACTCTATGATGCTTCCCAAAGAGACAATAATCACAAGGATTTAGTTTTGAATCTTTGGCAAATGGGATGAGGGACTTTCTTGCCAAAATTTGTAATCCTTTTTCACCAATATGAGCCAGTCTTTTGTGCCATAAATTTGGCGAAGCATCATCTTCGACTGCATTCAATCCACCCTTGATCAGCTTTACTTGAGTTCTGTACAGTGTCGATCTCACTGTACCTCTAGCAGCTAACAATGATCCTTTGGTAAGTCTCCACGTGTCGTTACCAAAATTGTTAGTATAGCCTGCTAGATCCAATGCATGCACAGAGATCAGATTCAGACGTAAGTCAGGTACATGTCGCACATCCTTCAGTGTTATTGTGCACCCAATATCAGTTTGAATGCACACATCACCAACTCCCACAATATTTGCAACGCTGTTTTTGCCCATCTTTATTCTACCAAAGTCTCCTTCTTTGTATAGAGAAAAGAATTCCTTGTGAGAGGTTGCATGGTATGATGCTGCTGAGTCAATGACCCATTCAACACTTGAATCTGCAACGTGACACTCTTCTTCTTCAACAGAGAGCAACACCACTTCCCCATTGATCACAGGGGTTGCGGTATTTTCATCGTTCTCTGTCTTGTTATTTCCCCAACCTCTATTCTTCCAGGCTTTGCAGTTTCTTTTGATAAGTCCTTCTTCACCACAGTGATAACACTTGAACTTTCTCCTGGGTTGAGATTGTGATTTATCTCTGGCTTTGCTATTCCGGCCTCTGCTTTTACTTCTCCCCCTGGTTTCTGTGACCAAGGCTTGGGAGCTGCTTGCCCCAGAGTCTTTTCTCCTTGTTTCTTCATTAAACATACTATCTTTGACTTGGGTCAAAGTCAGTTTTCTCTCAGGGGCAGAGTTGCTCAACGAGACCACCAGAGTCTCCCAGCTATCCGATATAGAACTCAAAAGTAACAGCGCCTACAACTCTTCATCAAGTTTCATTTCCATGGTAACAAGTTGGTTCACCATGTCTTGAAACTCATTCAAGTGTTCTACAACTGATCTTCCATCCCGGTATTTTAAATTTACAAGCTTTCTAATGACGAAAGCTTTATTTTGTGCAGTCTTCCTCTGGTACATCTGTTCAATTTTGTTCCACAG